GTCCACCCCTATATGATAATATAAATGTCATGTTATAATCATATTATATACAAATGTTATACCTGAGACCAGGCCGTGATTCTCCACTCTTAAACGTCACTGGCAGATCCATAGACCAGTCACTCTTCATAGACACACAGCTGGGCTCTGCTTCTGATCTCTTCTGATGAACTGAACTAAAACAGAACAACATTACACCGACAGTCATGCTATAATCTGATATTTTTATATATTCACCCCTATATGATAATATGAATGTCATGTTATAATCATATTTTATACAAACGTTATACCTGAGAGCAGGCCGTGTATCTCCACTCTTAAAGTATATTGGTCGATCCATAGACTGGTCACTCTTCATAGACACACAGCTGTGCTCTGCTTCTGATCTCTTCTGATGAACTGAGCTAAAACAGAGAGAGATTTAATCCATTATGATGAGAATCATCTTAATATAAAATCTTCATAAAGTATTACTAATGAAAAGCTCTTATGGGGCTTTATGGCTTTATCTACAGCCATCTCTTCTATAACATACAGTAAGTTATTTAATGTGTTACTCAAAGTACCTGCGTGCTGGAAACAAATCTTCATCTCCAGATGTTTGTGTTTCACTCATGCTGGATCTGAACAGTTTGATCTCCACTGACTCTAAATGGAGAGACAAACAATCACAAAAACTAAGCTAAGCTAAGCTAACAGCCTTCATCTGCCTTGTTTTGGAAGTAAGCTGTTTTCTGTGAATGAGTGAGACTTCTGATGCTTCAGCCGCTGCAGTTAAATACTAGAAGAACAGCCCAGCTAACAAAAAAAGGTCCCCAGGACGTCCCCTAAATGGCCTCTGACACTCGGAATTAGTGCTCTGCATTTATCCCATCCAAAGTGCACACACACAGCAGTGAACACACACCCGGAGCAGTGGGCAGCCATTTTTGCTGCGGTGCTCGGGGAGCAGTTGGGGGTTCGGTGCCTTGCTCAAGGGCACCTCAGTCGTGGTATTGAAGGAGGGAGAGAGTGCTGTACATTCACTCCCCCCACCTACAATCCCTGCCGGTACGAGACTCGAACCCGCAACCTTTGGGTTACGAGTCCGACTCTCTAACCATTAGGCCACAACTTCCCCCCTTTAAGCCCTCTGAATGTCATTTTATTTTACTTTTAGGCTAATCACAGACAACAGACACGTTGTATGGAGCAAAACATGTTTATTTTAATTGAACAACTGTAAAGTTGCTGTGGTCTTTCCGTGTCCGTGTGTGTGTGTGTGTGCGTCTCTGGTTGTCAGCTGTGTGGTTAGTCCGATATAAATGTATAAATGTCATGTTATAATAATATTATATACAAATGTTATACCTGAGACCAGGCCGTGATTCTCCACTCTACTGGCAGATTGGCAGATCCATAGACCAGTCACTCTTCATAGACACACAGCTGGGCTCTGCTTCTGATCTCTTCTGATGAACTGAACTAAAACAGAACAACATTACAGTTCATTATACAGAATTTGTCAACTGAACTGTGATCATATATGATAATATAAATGTCATGTTATAATCATATTTTTATACAAACGTTATACCTGAGAGCAGGCCGTGTATCTCCACTCTTAAAGTATATTGGTCGATTCATAGACCAGTCACTCTTCATAGACACACAGCTGGGCTCTGCTTCTGATCTCTTCTGATGAACTGAGCTAAAACAGAACAGATTTAATCAATTAGGAGGAGAATCATCTTAATATAAAATCTTCATAAAGTATTACTAATGAAAAGCTCTTATGGGGCTTTATGGCTTTATCTACAGCCATCTCTTCTATAACATAAGTTATTTAATGTGTTACTCAAAGTACCTGCGTGCTGGAAACAAATCTTCATCTCCAGATGTCTGTGTTTCACTCATGATGGATCTGAACAGTTTGAGCTCCACTGACTCTAAATGGAGAGACAAACAATCACAAACTAAGCTGAGCTAACAGTCTTTATCTGCCTTGTTTTGGAAGTAAGCTGTTTTCTGTGAATGAGTGAGACTTCTGATGCTTCAGCCGCTGCAGTTAAATACTAGAAGAACAGCCCAGCTAACAAAAAAAGGTCTCCAGGACGTCCCCTAAATGGCCTCTGACACTCGGAATTAGTGCTCTGCATTTATCCCATCCAAAGTGCACACACACAGCAGTGAACACACACCCGGAGCAGTGGGCAGCCATTTTTGCTGCGGTGCTCGGGGAGCAGTTGGGGGTTCGGTGCCTTGCTCAAGGGCACCTCAGTCGTGGTATTGAAGGAGGGAGAGAGTGCTGTACATTCACTCCCCCCACCTACAATCCCTGCCGGTACGAGACTCGAACCCGCAACCTTTGGGTTACGAGTCCGACTCTCTAACCATTAGGCCACAACTTCCCCCCTTTAAGCCCTCTGAATGTCATTTTATTTTACTTTTAGGCTAATCACAGACAACAGACACGTTGTATGGAGCAAAACATGTTTATTTTAATTGAACAACTGTAAAGTTGCTGTGGTCTTTCCGTGTCCGTGTGTGTGTGTGTGTGCGTCTCTGGTTGTCAGCTGTCATTGGTTAAAGGGTTGAAACTCCCCTCGACATATGCCTATATAATATCTTTGTATCTATGAATAAAGTTGAAGTATTGAGAATACAATTTGATGTGTGTTTTCTTGCTTCCCGGCCGTATACTCTTTGAGGGACTGAGAATTTTTCAAGGTGGCAAAGAGAAACTAAAGGGGCCTTTGTTAATTACTAACAATTACGTAAAGTAGTTACATGTAACTTACTCCCCAACAGGTCTGATGATAAAAGCCCACGCATGGGCGACTGGATTTTTCAAGTGTTGTAATGGAAATGGCAGATGAGGGACGAAACAGGGACGTTCGCAAACTGGCTCCGACGAATGTCCTCCGAATGTCCGCCAGCGAACATCAAAAAGAGGTCCAAATGCGGACGTCCTCAGAACGTCCGCCCACGAACGTTACAAAGTGGACGTACTGCGGACCTAAACGGACGTTCGGAACGTCCGGGGGACGTCCCGTTTGCTGGGATCACTGTCTGCCATCAACAGACCTACACACAACAAATCTGACATACCATTGAGTAAAATAATTGACAAATTACAGGTAAAAAATGTAGAGGCGGACAGTAGTGAAGAATTTTTACTTTACT